CCCTCTCCCTCCCTTCCCCTCTTCCCGTCCCATCCTCCCTCCTTCCCCTCGCCTCCCCTCTCCTTCCCTCTCCCTCCCAAGTGCCCACCTCCCCCCTTCCCCTCCCCCTCTCCCTCCCCTTACCCGAATATGGCCATCGCTGCCATCGTTAAACTTCTAACGACCAACACGTGGCCCAAACCTTCGGGTAATGATTCCACGGGTTCGATAGCGCCCGGGTGTCCTGGTGGGGCGGGCCAGGGAGCAGCAGCGTCTTGGGGTCGCCTCCGGGAGCCTCCTCGGGCGCTTCTCCGTCCCCCGCCCGTCCTCGGAGAAGCCTCGAAGTTGGCCTTTCACATCGCAGCATAGACGGGGGGTGGGGGTGAGGGTGAGGGTGGGGTGGTGGGGGTGGGGGGGTGCTTTGAAACGAATGCTGAGAAACAAATTAACTGATAATTGCGATTCTTAACGAGGCATGGTTCTCTCTCGCCTTCTGCAGTGGGTGAAATAACATATGTGATTTAGATCAGTGAGAAGCAGAAAAAAAAAAAATAAAGAAAAGAAAAAACGGTCTATTCACCTTCAGCACCGAATAACATGTGCATTTACAAAACAAAAACGAGAAGCAAACCAACTAACTGCTCGTTTGAAGCCTAAGAAACGGTAAAAGCATTTTCATCAAACTATCGGACAATATCTTCAGTACTTTAAGAAAAGCAAGAACGAGAAACAAATACGTTCACCCGATTATTACCAAATATTACAAATACGTTCACCTGATTATGCAAATACAATACCAAATGCGTTCACCCGATTTATTCACCGATTAAACAAATACGTTTCACCCAAATACAATACCAAATACGTTCACCCGATTATGGAAATACGTTCACCCGATTATACAAACACAATACCAAATCCGTTCACCCGATTATGTAAATACATTAGCAAGTACGTTCACCCGATTACCAAATACGTTCACCCGATTATACAAATACAATACCAAATTCGTTCACCCGATTTTACGTTCACCCGATTATACAAATACGTTCACCTAGTTGTACAAATACAATACCAAATCCGTTCACCCGATTATGTAAATACATTAGCAAGTACGTTCACCCGATTACCAAATACGTTCACCCGATTATACAAATGCAATACCGAAGACGTTCACCCGATGGCACAAATACGTTCACCTGATTATACAAATACAATACCAAATACGTTCACCCGATTATACAAATACAATACCAAATACGTTCACCCGATTAATACCGAATCCAAACCCCACGACGAAGGCATTGTGATGAAAACGCTTATTGCTGTGACGTACATCATGGATATAGCTTACCGACAGTCAAGACCAAAAAAAGAGAGAATGGGAAACTCATTTAAACATTTTGGTTAACTTTGACCTCGGAGAGATAACTTGTTTATCCTGTGGAGCGAACATGAAAGAATGGCTATGCTAATTTCTGTTGCGAGCTCTGTCGGGCTGAAGACCATTGAAAAATATCCTGAACTCATCAACTATGTTTACAGAAATAAGTGTTGCATTTGAGGTTCTCGCGCTGGGTCGGAGTGCGAAGAGGGATGGATAGGAGTGCGAAGGGGGATGGATAGGAGGGCGAAGAGGGATGGATAGGAGTGCGAAGAGGGATGGATGGAAAGGGAGAGGGAAGGGATGGAAGAGTGCGAAGGGGGATGGATAGGAGTGCGAAGAGGGATGGATAGGAGGGCGAAGGGATGCATAGGAGTGATGGATAGGGTGGAAGGGCGTGAGGGATCTCGGAAGGAAGGTCAGATAGGGTCATAATCGGCCTTAAGTGCGGGTGGACCATTCCTGCTCTCCCTCTCCAAAGCCAGGGAAAGTCATGATGCGATGGTGATGATGATGATGATGATAGTGATAATGATGGTAATAATAGTGATGAGGATAATAATAGTAATGATGATGATGATGATAATAATCATAATACTAATAATGATGATAATGATAGTAGTAAAAATAATAATAATAATAATAATAATAATAATAATAATAATAATAATAATAAATAATATAATATACAATAAAATGATAATAATAAATAATAATATAATAAAATAAATAATAACAATAATAATAATAATAATAATAATAATGATAATAATGATAAATGATAATAAATAATAATAAAAATAATATGACGCAAAAAGATAATGGCGATCAGGAATGAACTAAGTAATGATAATCATATATAAAAAGTTTCTAATGGAACTAAGATGCGTGGAAAGAAAATCAAATGAAAAAAACGGTTCAAATTGTTATTCGAAAAAAAAACACGAAAAGAAAAAAATACAAAAAAAGAAATAATCTGTTATTCGAAAAAAACACGAAAACGAAGCAGAGAAAAAAAATATATAAGCTGCAGATGACAACAGAAAAATGAAAATAAAAAAAAGAAAAATCAAAATACACAAATTCAGTGAGAAAGCACACGCAGGCAAATGAAACCATATTTAAAGTGATACTTAC